ATCAGGGGTGTCCAACCTTTTTGTTTCTCTGGGCCGCATTGGAAGAAGTCAAGGAGTTTTGGGCCACAAGTATATATTATATATACTTCTGGCCCAATATACAAGTATATTTAAGGATTAACACGTCTAGATTGTAATAATAAGTATTAAAACTTTATCACGAAAAGGGATATTTTAAAAAATTACTTTTACAGACACTTTCAATTTTTACTTAGAAATGGATAAATTCATTTATTATAAAAGAGACTAAAGAAAATTTATTTGAAAAACACAAGTATTTGTTTTATTTGGGTCTCTAATTAATAAGAAGCGATGAAACGCCATTTTAAAGTGTATTTTTATTCAATTAATATAATTATAAATAATACGTAGCCGAAAAAGTAGCCAAAGCGCCAAATGATATTTTTTACGTCAAACAAAAAAAGTCACATTTGGCGTAATGTAGCCAAATCTTGCAACATTGGAAGAAATACTAAATAAAGCTGGAGTTGTGACTCAAAGGATTATAGATCCAAATGCGGGGAAAGGAGAGAAAGGATAAAAGATAAAGAAGTGAGAAAGGTTGTAAAATTAAGGGTCAATATTTGCATAACAGAAGATCTATTTAACGTTTCTCACTACTACATCTTTTGTCCTTTTTCATCTTTCCCTCCTTTTCCCAAATTTGGGTCTATAATCCTTCCGCATTCACACATCTCCAAGTATTTGAAAATATTTTCTTTCCACTCAAAAATAAAATAAGAATAAAGGTTTACGGCTTTGTGAAACTTTTTTTTGAGTTTATGCCGTTGAAATGAATAAATAATACAAAAAATTAAAACATTTGTCGATTTTGTTTACACGTTTATTGGGCCACACTGGAATGTGCCTTGGGCCGCATGCGGCCCGCGGGCCGCTGGTTGGACACCCCTGTTATAAAGGATTAGAAAATATATATAAAAATGGGGAATATCATACTTCTGACAATCTCTGTGAGTATGTGGGCTAAATTTAAAGAATCTGTGCTTCTCACATGTACAACTGTATGTGTCCAGCTCACGTGTTGGAAAACCTTCTGATTTATTCGTGTACGCACCAAACAGAAAAACAAAAAATATTGTGTATCCACAAGCACTCCAATAAATAAATAGAATTGAAACGACACTTTGAAATGTTTTCCCGATGAAAATTAATAATAATAATAATAATAAAGCAATAAACACATATGTCATCTCAGTACTCACATACTCTTTTGGAGTTATACATTGGACTCACACAGATCTTGAGCAACTCCAAAGGAAAACAAGAACAACACTCACTAAGCATAAACAACATCATCCTAAATCTGCTACAGAAAGATTAACCCTTCCATGTAAAGATGGCGGACATGGCCTGATTGACATAGTTAACCTTCACTACAAACAAATACAGTCACTGCGAGAGTTTTTCTACAGGAAACAAGAAACATCACAATTACATAAAGCAGTAACTCTAGCAGACTCAAATAACACACCATTAAACTTACACTCACAACATACAGACATGACACAACATATAAAAAGCATAGACAACATTAAGCAATCATGGGCTCAAAAGGCTCTCCATGGCAGGCATCCTTACGACCTGGCCCAGGATTTTGTTGACAAAACTGCGTCAAACAGCTGGTTAGATCGGGGATGCCTCTTTGGGGAGACGGAAGGATTCATGATTGCCATACAGGATCAGGTCATAAATACTAAAAACTACAGAAAACACATACTCAAAGATACAACACTCACAAATGACACATGCAGAAAATGTCACATCATGCCAGAAACTATACAACACATCACTTCTGGTTGCAAGCTCTTGGCACAGACAGATTACTTACATAGACACAATCAAGTAGCAAATATAATACACCAAGAGCTTGCAAAGAAACACAAATTGGCAGACATCCACGAACCATACTACAAGTATATTCCACAGACAGTATTGGAAAATAACACGCACAAAATGTATTACGACAGAGCCATAATCACAGATAAAACAATTTACCACAACAGACCAGACATCACACTCATTGACAAACACAATAAAATCACATACATTATAGACATAGCCATTCCAAACACTCACAATGTACAAAACACATGCACTGAAAAAATTAGCAAGTACACAGAACTCGCCCAGGAAATAAGGCATCTGTGGAGGATGGATAGGGTGCTTATTGTACCTGTCGTTCTCTCCTGTACAGGTGTGATACCACACATACTACACAAAAGCCTGGGAACATTAGAATTGAGTAGAAATACATACATAACACTACAGAAGGCCACTATATTGAATACATGCCATATTGTTAGGAAATTCCTGAATACAGACATACACACTGACACACTTATTTAATTTTAGTTTTGTTTTGGTTGCTATGCCTTGACTTTGGTCCGGCATAGTACACAGCCACCGGTGTGAACCGAGTATAACTCACAAAACCCAACATAATAATAATAATAATAATAATAATGCAATAATAATAAGTTTCAATAAAAATGATAAAATGTAAATAGAATTTTATCATAAAGAGTTTGCTTGAATTTCCTTTCTTCTGAGATCGCAGCAATGCGCGATGGGTAAGCTAGTTTTCTATATAACTACATTAACAAAATTCATATATCTTCAGTATTTTGGAATGAAGAAGGTATAAGGGACTTTTGACATACCCTGTATGTATGTATGTATATATAATCAGAATTTGGACAGACTACTATATATTCAAAAAGCAATTTGTGTGTACTACAGTTTCTTATTAATAGAATGTATTAAAATTTGTTAGTTTTTCTGTTAAGCAGGCATAATAATTTCATAGAGTTTATGCTTTATTATTATAAGGTAATAGATTTTTTAGATATTAAGTGTAAAGCATATATCAAATATTATGAATCAGGCCTGTGTGAAGGATTTTTAAAAGGTGGAATTTAAAAAATAATTAAGTTTTACAATTTAGGCTAAGGCTTTATTTTTTTAAGTTTTTTTAATTTTTTTTAAATGGAGGGGTCAAACCTCTAAAAACTTGTATGCAAGGCCTGATTTTGAATATTTTAATGTTTTCAGTCTATATTGAAATATTACATATTTATATTTGACTCCATATGATGATAGAAGATAATATTTGCTACTTACTTTTAGTCATAGTGCTGTTTTCTTTATATCAGGTAAATGATAAATGTAAGTTTCTAAAAGTATTTAATATATATATAAAATTTTTATTTTATAGGCAGCAGCATGATAGTTGGAGTGACTTTACCACAGGCAGGAGCTACTGGTCCAACTTCTACTATGCCCACTCCAGGACATGTCCCTGGTCATGCCCCATCTGTGGGAGGTATGGGAGACTGCACTTTAACATTGCAGGGTCCCCCACTTAGTGGAGTACCTGGGTCAGGTCTGTCTGCTACAATAACTCCTCAGAATCAAACTCCCAATTCGGGCACTGCCCCCAGCAGCACAGCCCCCTCTGCTGGTGGCGGCAGTAACCAGTCCACCGTAACCATGGCAAACACAAAAGAGAAAACCCCCATGTGCTTGATCAATGAATTAGCTCGTTACAATAAAGTAAGTATTAATAAAAAGCTCTGTGAAATTATTAGAATGCATTTAAAGAAAAATTCTTTGTTGACAAAAGTGTCTCCATCTTATATTGCCAATAAGATATAAATGTTAATTAACTTCAGGGAGTCAATTTTAATTTCAATAATGACACTGCTAAACTGAATGTAAAACAGGATGACTACCATTCAAAATAATTTTTAAGCATTTATGAGTAATGTTTAGAAATTTTTTTTTGTTTTTGAAATGTGTTCTCTGTTTTATATTTGATTTGAAAGTGTCATTATTGAAATTAGATTTGACAAAGAAACATAAATAGTCTTTAAAAATGTTTCATCAAATAAGAAATTGAAATTTATTAACTTTATACTTTACTAGCAGACCCCGCCACGCGTTGTTGTGGCTCAAAATGTATCTATTATAAATGTATAACACTTCCCCGTGTGGGGGGGGGGAATTTTTCGAAAAATTTCTTCTTACTGTACATTCTCTTGGCGTACCCTATTAAAATGCAATCAAGAACGCAAAAACCCGCATCTAAAATAGTATAATAGAAGCCAAGTTCTTCAAGGTAAGCCTTAATCCTGTCCCTCTCCCCACGGGGGGAATATCGAAAAATCCCTTTTTAGTGTATATTCTGTTGAAATACTCTATTAAAACGCATCAAAAACGCAAAAAAACGCATCTAAAATAGTAGAAATAGAAGCAGAGTTCTTTACGATAAACCTTAATCCTGTTCATCTCCCCCCAGTGGGGGGGAATTTCGACATGTATATTATATAAAAACACGTGCATATTCAAATGCAGCGTTGTGTGAAAATTTCAAAGGAATTGGTAGGAACAAATGAGCATTACATTTTTATTTACATAGATAGATAGAAGATGATCTGCTTTAGTTCATCCTCACAGAAAAGCAAACTTAGGGCGTCATACTCGTAGCTCCATCTGTTGGACATAAAAGCCTTAACCCTAGATGATATCTTTTAATTTATATGAATGTTTAACAAAAAATCTGCAGGTTTGATTAGTGGTAAACATTCCGGGGGTCATAAAGATGCTACAGTTAAAATTTGGTAACGATTGGTTTAGTAGTTCACGGTTAGTGGTCACAAACGAAAAATACGTTGTCTCTTTATATAGTAGTATAGATAATGGAACTGAAATCAGATTATTTATAATCCATCACTAAGTTCATAATGGATGNTCTCTTTTTCTTTAAATATATATATATATATATAATTAAAAAAATATATATTTTCTTTATCATTAATAGTAGTTTTTTGTATACATAATACATGGAATATATTATGTATACAAATAACTTATGAAAATATGTAAAAGTATTATAAATGTTTCATTGCAAGATAAAAAGGAAAAAATCCAAAAATTTGGCTGAGTGTACACAAATCAAGAATTATTAAGGCAGCTGTAGTGTGTGTGCACAATTTAACTTTCCCTATTAGTGCCCTATTATGCAGAAAATTTTGTGGCAATAATCACAGTTTTCACCTCTATAGGATATGTCATAGTCACAAATTACTTCCTGGTGATTATGCTAAGCAGATATCATTTGCCAGGTCATTCATAGCTTGGTGATAATTAATGATTTATAGTACTGACAAATTCTATGGACAGATGAAACCTATTTTTACTTGCAGGAAATACACAACTTGTGTTTGGTCTAGAGCCAAACTTTTTTCACAGTGGGCCAGATAACAGAGAATGACGAGCATGGGCCACATAACTATTTTGTTCAATACACTACAGTGAATACACAAAAAATAAAGACAATAACATATTTATTTACAGTAGAACCCCTCTAGTCCGCCCTCGGCTAGTTCGTCACTCCAGTTAATCCAACTGTGGTCGGAGTCGAGAAACTTGTCCCGACTCGTCGGTGACTCACTGTCCGTGGCATTTTTCTGTGTTCGTTACAGTATATGTTTTACATTGTGTGTACATGTACAGTTTTGTGTGTGTTTTCAATATGTCAGGAGTGAAACGTAAACACATTACTCTTTCATTAAATTAGCAGTGCTACAAAGACTGGACAAAGGGATAGATTGTTTATTTTACTTTTTTCTGATAATCTGACCTTTTTTGCATTCCGACCATACCCCCAGTCCCAAAGGTGACGGATTAGAGAGGTTCTATTGTACCAATACACAAACACAATCGCTACAGCAAGCTCATAATCTCTTTTCTTAGAAACTTCATTGCAGGTACTTACACAAAAAGCACTTTGATATCCAAAGTTGCCAAATTTTTTATTTTGCTAATTTTCCCTAAAAATAATAATATTGTCAGATGCAAAAATCAGATTGAATCACTTCTGGCATTTTTACTTACACTTATTTTTATTTTTTATACATAATAAGTTCATCTACAATCTATGATATTTCCATATAAATAATTACATTTTACCTCATTTGTAGCACAGTGTGGCAGTGGGCCGTTGTTTGGTGACCCCTGGACTTGAGAAATCCACACACTTATTTTAGTTGATGCAAAGGAATTTGCATCAATCAAAAATCAGTCTGGTGCAAGTTTGCAGCATCCTTCATCATTTGACTGTATTTTTATTTTAAGAAAACACTAAATTTGGGTCAGTGACATGTTCTGTCACTGCTACTAAGTAAAAAGACGTGCTTCAAAACATTGTCATCCTTGCACATCAACAATGAAATTGTTTGGATACTTGAGCACTCTCACATATTGATGTTAATGTGAAAAAGATTATTGCATCAGCACTTTACAAATGAGTGATTAGCTGATCATTTCAATAGCATGGCCACTAGGGTTTCTGAAACGGGATTCCAGGATCCCGGTATCCCAGTTGTTTTTTTAACCCGGGAAATATCCCGGGAAATTTTTCTTATCCCGGGAAATCCCGCAAATTTCTTAAAAATTCACTTTTTTTCTTATTTTTTGTTAAGGTTGAGGAGTTTTGCAAATAGAAAGCATAATTAACTCATTCACTGCCAGAATTTGTACATTAATAAATACATTTGTATTTATTAATTTTAAACCTACCTATTAGTTTTTTTAAATTTTTGCTCGTTATAGCATGTCACAAATGGTCAATAATCAATATATAGCTTATTTGTGGCATGACTATAAAAATTCTTTACTTGTCGGAACCTGTAATATCTGGAATAATTGTGCTTACGCTGTCTTGAGTTTTAACCATGCCCAGT